ACCATGGACTGGTGGGGCATTTGCCCCACTGGGCCCCTTCCTCTGCCCCACCACTGAAGAAAAATAATGGCCAATTGCCCCAAAGCCAGGGCCCTAGGACTTGTATTGAGTAAATGAGTTTAACATTGAAAAGAAGTTTAAAAAACAAAATTTGTTATGTTGTGTTTGAATGTTTAGCATGCAATTTATTACAAATTTAACTACTAAAACTTTTTTTTGAGAGGCTGAGATTTTTTTAAATGTGTTCTCAGAATGCAGGAAACGCTATTTGAGACCTAAATTTTCTAGGGGGGGGGGAAGCCCCAGACCTCCCTAGTTAACTCGTGCCTGCGGTACTCGGCTCACACCGTCGGCAATTGCATAGTATCGTGGGGGCAAGGCAAGGGAAATGGGCCCTTTCGCAAGTACTTGAGTAAAAATCTCGCATCTTGGCAACAAAATGTGTTAAATTAAAGCTTGTTTTCCACTTGCAATTTTTGCTGCGATTTTCTTCTTCTGATGGATGTAAACGACTGGATGAGTTATGAATGTTCAGATGAGGCTATACCATAGATTCAGAATATCATAGCTCTCTACTCGTTTCCATGCATCAGAAGAAGAAAAATTATAAGTGTAAACGGGCCTTCAGACTTGTAGCAAGCTTGTCAACAAGTTGTAACAATGTTGTCATTTTATCAAGTTGCTATTATTATAAGTTGCTACAAGATTACAAGATACAACGCACAACTTGTTAACAAATCTATCTAGTATGCAAAATTCCTACTGTGATCACAGATTCACAGAAACTTTTATAGTGTAAACCAGGCTTTAGAACCAAATCCTTACTTTCAATATCGGTTCAATATATGTCTGTGATAAGCGTAATATATTCTCTGTTGTAAATTCTTCATCAAATGTGTAGGAATCATCAGGGTTTCTCCGTGCATTTTTCCCCAACATTTGTGCGGGTACAGAAAACTGTAGGATTGGTTTTTCGTTTATCAACGAATTGCCGATTACTATTCGACTATCAGTGCCAACCAATTCCTCCTCGCGAAGAAATGCGTCTAATCCTAAAATAATAATAATAATAATGATTTAATAGCATTTCCACATAGTGGCTCTTCTATGCTACAAGTGAGTTTGATTATAAGATAACAAAGTATACAATATATAC